ATTTTAATTTAACTGGTTAGATCCAAATCAAAAAAATTGCTTATAATTTAATTTTTATTTAAATAATTAACAAAAAAAAATTAAAAATTTCTAAAATTATTCAATATGGCATTTAAAGCCTCACATGAAATAATATATTATAATTATTATGAATTATGACACACTAATGTTTCGTTTGAAGTCAACCTTATCAAGAATTTTTTATATTTATATACTGCTCGTTAGACAGCTTGTATACAACTTCATTGGTCTTTATAAATTGTCTCAATAAAAAAAAATCTCCACTTTATAGAACTTGAAACGATCGTGTCGCAATTATAAAGTCGTGTTGTTAGTTGCGATTGCAAGCTATCGATTAACGTAAGATTAACGAGTGTAACTTAAAGTCTCATTGAAAGAAATTAATGCCGTTGGTGTACTATATATTGAAGTATAAAGAAATATAGATGATAATCATAATAATGGTGTATGACTAACTAGATGTAATAATAATAATAATAATAATAATAATATATACTTTGGCTTAACGAATATAAATTCTACAGCTGATCGTAAAGACTCGATTTGTTTTCGTCGCCTCGATGCCAATTAAAAATACCTATCTCGTGTGTTATTCGCGTATTAAATGGATTAATGTGTATACGGGCGTATCTACATCTGTATATCTGTGCCTGCATCTTGTGTATAGATAGAGAGATTATAATGCTGCGTGACATTTAATTTAATATACATATTAATTCGAATCTATTGACAAGTATATGTCTTTATAATTGGCTTCAAATAGTGAACTCCGGTAGTCATTTGTTTTCGCAAATAAAAATTATCATTGCGTTTTATTTATCTACTTGATAAGATAATTGCAGGTTATTAATTATTGTTCGTTTCGATGAAGTATTAATGTTAGTTTATAAATTTTTTTTCAGAGAACTAGTTTTTATTTTTTTGCTTTTTAAAATTATTCTTTTTTAAACTCTTAGATTTTTTATCGAATTAAAATTAAATTCTCTATTCACGGAATAACATTCATATTTTTTAGGAGGTGATCCATCACCGAACGGTTTTTATTTTTGAAACATCGAATACATCACTGAAAATTGATTATTAGATCGAATTTCATGATATCATGTCCGATAAATACAAGTAATCCATCTTGCCCCGCCCTTTTTAAGTTCGACTCGAAAAGGGAATTTATCATAATACTAGAAATTTTGTTTTAGACCAGGTAACAGGTCAACTTTTGAAAGTAGGACTTGATAGAATTATATAACAAAAATGCTTGAAGTCCTGAATAATTTTTTTAAAATACTAACAGTTATTTTTACTTTTATTGGCCAATTAACCATTAATGTTACATTTTTATTCCCTTTTATCCAAATTATATTTATTAGTTCGATAATTAAAACTCTGCTTTTTTTTTATTTTATTTTTTTTTTGTTAAAATTTTATCGCGGGTTAATACTATCGGGTGGCAAATGATCCTCGTTAACCGAAAATTCATGGCCATTAACATAATTTCACGGGTAATTTTAAGAAGATAATCTCAATCTTAATCTGTTAAAAAATAAATATTTAACTGAAAATAATTAAAGGTTTGTCTAATTAAGGATGAATTTATTGGTGAGAATGTAATAAGTGAGTTCTGAAAAGCTAACAACTTCTCGAATTATTTATTGTTGTGAGCTTTTTAACTAGTAGATATGAAAATATATGTAATTGTCCAATTATGTATGCATGTATGAATATGTATCGACATTGAATTTTACCGGAAAAATGTGTTTATAAATTACACATACGAGGAATATCGTAATTGCTTTGACTGCTTATTGTTAACTATTTAAAAATATCAGCACTTCCAATCACATTTAACCGAGCTGGTGACATACTTGATAATTATTGTAGATAAATGCACTGGTCTTGATGTTTTTTTTAATTGCTCTTCGGAATTAAAATTGCTACATTATTCATTTTTATTTGTTAAATTTCGGCTTAATTATCCATCCAATGCTTTAATTATCAAAGTCTTCTAAAATATATTACGTAATATTTATTTAAGTGGATAATCTTTGGAATTGTAAAAAATTCATAATTTTTTTATTGACAAATGTTTTATTCAAAAATATTTTGCTTAAATCCTTTTAGTATTGACAGAGTTTTAGTTAATTAATATTTGTTATTTATTAGTTAATGTTTATCAATTGAAACACGAATAAATGAATTTGGAATATGATGTGAATAAGTTCAGGTTGTTAGCCTGCCTCGATTCATTTGACATGTTTTTAACAATTGATGTTTGATAATTGAGCACCTGAAGAAGTCGGGAAACCGATGAAACGTTGTGAAAATTTAACATAAACATCGAATAAATATTTCCAATAAACTGTGAACCTATTATTTTATTAATTAAACATGGATATGAACAACACAATGAATTTTTATTTTTAACGAAATTATTAATTTCTTAAATCCTTTTAATTAAAAAAAATGTAACATAATTTCACGGTAAAATTTCTATTATTTTCCGCTAAATATCAGATTCCAGCCCATCGCAATCTAACATCAAAATTCACCACATTACCGCCATCTACCCGCTCCCTACTGTATTACCTGAGGAAACTCAGTCAGTAAATAAATTTCAAACCAGCTCTTGAAGCCAATAACTCAAGCTATCACAATACTTCTCACTATCTCTGTAAATATCAAATAAATCAACGGTTGTACCGTTAAAGACGTACCATTAACCTTGAAACTATTAACTTCTGTGCCATAAAATTAATCTATGTACCCCCTCCCCCCTTTACCACACACACACACACACACATCTCGATCTCAAACCAGAAAACAAAACCCCAAAACATAAATGTTAATTTTGATAAATACGAAAATTCAACCGTAACAAAAGAATGTTGATTTAGCGAGATAGAGGCGTGTTTGTTATTTTAATGAGTTATACAATGGCCCGGGATGTTGGGTGTTGATGCATAGCGCGTAGCAGGGTGCCCAAGCCTGTGTTGGGTCTTAAGAAGCCCAAATACAGCCAGAGATATATGTACGAAGCTTCTTCTTCTTCTTCATCATGACCATGATCATGGTCTTCTTGTTTCTCGTCTTCTTCTATACTACTCTGAAGACCCCTGTAGACAGGGGCCGCTAGACGTCCATCAAGCGTCAATGTTATGTATTTAGACATATCTTACTGACCGGACCACTCATATATTTATATATTTATCCATTTATATACAAACATACAACATACACAGATGTATTAATATTAAAAATATCTTCTATTTCTTCTTCTTCTTCTTCTTCTTCTTAACTTCTTGTATCTTGTATAATAAAATAAAACACAAGTTATCATTCAACGTCCGCACATATTTCAACATTAATTTTCCGAATGATGATACATGACCTGACATCAATGCCTGCATGTCAGCATGACGCTCATCATCGTCATTTTAAAAATAAGTCTCAACTTCTTGGATCTTTTATGGACTTAAACTTTCGACATTTATTTTTATTTATTGTAGTTTGTTTTTATTTTAATTGAGGTAATTTCTCAAAATGAATACGTTTATTCCATTTGTCACTCGTTAATACCACGCGGCGAACGGTAAGTTACTAATACTAATAATATTTAATGTATAAAGTATAAGTTAATAAATAAGTCGACGGAAGAAGATATTCACTCAGTAGTCCGAGTGAATAATTATTTTATTTTTATTTATTATGTATCCGTACTGACAGTTATAAAATGGTAATTTATTTAGTAAACGTATTTATGAATTTATTCATAGATGAAAAATTTCTTAAGTACGTCGCTGGTTATACGGAATTTTTAATTTTACTTTTTATCATTTAAAATCGTCTCGTCAAATGTGACAGCAAGTTTTACTTGTATATTTTTTTTTCTTTTGATTTATTGCAGATAATTTATTGTAAAAATACAATTTTTACTCTGAATTTATTTATTGAATTTTTTAATAAATTTATTTTATTAAGTCGAATAAAAGCGGTCATTTTTTCAATTGCATCAATTACTGTGGGTCTGAAATGTATGTGATTATTGGTTAATATTCAATTTTCAGGAATCAAATGAGCCTTCGATGGTTAATTACAATTATTTATGACAGTAATAATAAAATAATACAGTGATAAAAACGACAGCTGGTAACGGAAGGCTGATAATGATTGTATATTATTTTATAAATTATAAATTATTTTTTTAAGTACATCCAAGGGCATGTATACTTTGTTGATAATGATATGTGAAAAGTTTGGATTGGAGGGTTCAGATGATTTGAGTTTGTATTTTTTAAAAGAGAACAGTATGTTAAAAAAATTTTATATAATGACAATAAGGATTTAAAATAGTAAATTAACATCGAAATGTAAATAAATTAATTGAGTTAATAATTTTTTATTAAAATTTGCTAGTTTATCTCTTTATAAAAGAGTTAGTTTATTTCGTTATCAATTTACTATTATTTTATTAATGTCATTTTTCGAAATTTAGTTTTTTAATTATGGCTGGAACTAAGGTACTAGCTAATTAACAAATTTTAATGAGAGTCATTAATAAAAAAAATTTTCTTTAAAATGTATGCAAAAGCCCTAACTTGAAAAAATTTTTTTTCTTTACTCAAGAATTAATTTTTTTCCGTGCACAGACCATATTTCTTTACTATGGTCTGAATTTTTAATTTTTATTTTTATTTTTTATAGTAAAAATTATTATTTTTGTCTATTATTTTATAGAAAATGTCCTTAAATAATAAGAAACGAAAATTTATCAATATTTTTGAAAATTAACAATTTTGGATTCCCAAATTTGAAAAAAAAAAAATGTAAAAATTTTCCAATTATTTAATAGTTCAAATTAAAAATTTTGAAACTAAAATATTTAACAGATTCAAAATACAGAAATAAACTGACCCTTAAATTCAAACGATCACACATTTTTATCAATTACATTTATTTATAAATTATTATATGTCACCCTGTACTCAATGGTATCCATTAGTCACAGGGACAGCTAATACCATAAAATTAACAAATCCATCAACATCATCAAGTTCCTTAGAATAAAATTTAGCAACAATTGTACTGCGTCCAGCAAACTTTGGCGTCATTGAAAATTTGCAACTGGCTTTTTCTCCAGGCAAAATATCCTTATTTACTCTGATTTTTAATTGAGTGTCCAAACCAGGACCTGTGATCAAGAACTTTCCGTTTGTTAGCGGAATTGGTAGAGGGTTGATAAAACTTGCCGTCGCTTCTAGCGGGTAATCTACCACGGCTTCCGATTGTCTCTATAAAAACAATAGAAAAATTTAATCACAAATTTTTATAAGTAAAAATTTTATCTCAAAATTTTACATGTAAAAATTTTATTTCAAAATTTTACAATTAAAAATTTTATAAGTAAAAATAAAAATAAAAATTTTTATAAATAAAAATAAATAAGAACAGTCTTACGTCAACATCAATAATAGGTTTAACAACACGGAAGTCATCTTGAGCATAGTACTCAAAATTAGTGTCCTTGACATTTGCCAAACAAGCGATATTAAAAGCAGACTGGTCTAGCATTCTTGGACCATATTCTTCCCATGATACATCAAGCTTGACTGTTTCAAAAGCACCTGGCTTAATAATTCGATCTATTTCAAAAGTTTTCACCGGACCACCAACTTTTCCCGTGTATAGAACGACGTCTACTCTCAGGATCACCGAGACACGGTATTTGTTTTCTTTGCTGCGATTCTTCATCACTAGTACCACACTAGAATAATTAATAAAATCAAATACTGTTAGCTATAATTAGATGAAATTGAATTAATAAATGGTAAATTATAAATTCCAAACCTGAAAGGATCTCCAACGAGAACATTATCGATAAGCTTAAAATCGAAAATAATATCGTTGAACTGCTCATTAAGATAGTAGCGACTGAATATAGACTCGCTCTGTTGCAGAGCTTTTAACATGGCTTCTCGTTCCTTATTCGAAGCTAAATGCATTTTAATGAAGCATTGATTAATCGGTTGAATGTTGAAATTTTAATTTAATATAGAGAGGTTACTCACTTTCGGGGTATTTATAGTCCTGGGTGAGATCTTCGCGACCCCATATTCCGACTGCTTTGGTACTTATGTATTGGCCGATTCTGATTAAATTTAATTCATGTTTTATATATATTAATGTAGTTAAATTATATATTTAATTTATTTTTGATGATATTGAGAAATTGATTGAGTTTATTAGAAAAGAGAATGTTTTATAATAATTATAATTATCAGTTGAATGACTGACGTCGAGAATAAAAAAAATTATAAGTATTATTATTTATAATTTTTGCTATCATTGCTAAATTTTACCTATTTTTATAAATAATTAAATTCAAGAGTAAATAATTAATAATTTTCTATGAAAATTACAGAACTTAAACTGAAAAATTAACTTTAATTAAAAGTTATCAATTATAAGCCAAAGAAAATATTTCAATTTGTAAAATTAGATCTTGAAAAAATTCCTGAGTCAAATTTCACAATTCTATAATTTTTTTTCTTGATTCAAAAAAAATCAAATTCTTCAAAATGAATTTTTAACTTCAAATTTTTTTTTTTAATCTAGTCAATTTTTTTATCATCGAAATTTCCAATTTCCGCTCAAATCTCCAGAATTATCTGATATTTTACAAAACAAAACTGACAAAAATGAAGCCGATATCCTCCAACTATAAACTTACCCTTGAGTATCCTTAGACACTAATTTCAAGGGTTGGGTAGGTCCATTGTACTTCCAATAAACCTTATCAGCATTCACCTCAGCGAACAAAAAGCCTCCATCATAAGGTCGCATAACTTCACCATTTTTAATCGCGGCGACCGAAGTCGGCCCACAACGGAAAGAACCTTCACTTTCTTCTTGCGGAGTTGAATCAATTGCCTGCCAACCATCACAATCCGACCCAAGATCTTTTCTTTGCATCCAGACCTCACTCCAGACATGGAAGTTCCTATTTTAATAACAATTCGTCAACCATAATCAAAAACGAGCCTCACTAACTAGTTCAAAAATTTCTAATCTAAGCCTGCTTAAAACGTTACCAAACGGAATCAGTAGTCAGCTCTTCCATAATATTTCCCTTTTCATCAACAAAATAATCGACAGTGCGACTACCTTGGGTATCATGGGCACTGGAGAAATTGGTGACAACCCTAGACGGCAGACCCAAAGTTTTACAAACAGTAGCAAGGACACCAGCGAAGACCCAACACTGGCCATATTTGACTGGCTTTTTGGTTTTGTAGAACTCCTGGAGAATTTTAACGGAGCCTAGCCACTTGGTCGGTGATGTTCCTCCGCTGTAATCGCCCGACCAATTGCCCATCAGAGCGCCATTGTCATCATTGGAATTAACTGCCGCTGTAAGTACTCGCGATATTACAACCGGGTCGTTACGTGACGACGCTCTAACAGATCCTATATCGGACATTAAATATAAAGCGCAGTCCAGTATATCACGTTCAAACTGTCCAAAGTTCCATGGCGATGCGCTTATTGTGTTTTTGTTTCCACGCCAAATTAAACCGGTGTCTAATAAAACGTATTCATGACGCTTAGCTTCGTCGTCTATAAAAACTACGTCCTCTGTAAACATTTCGAGTGTTATTTTATTTATTACCAACAGTTACGGATTGAACGGTTTAAGTAAAAGCAATTGATTTTTACCTGGACACCACGGATTAAATAATAAATAAAACGGTTCGTTGACATTGAAACTTATTGCACCACCGGAAATTTTGTGCTTCGTGTCTATTTCCATTTTCCATTTGCCGACTGGCGCATCTGCTGGTGAAGATACCTGTTTTTTTTTATTTTAGTAATTTTTTTTTTCCATTGTCTTGTTGTTCGTATCCATAATTAATCGATAAAATAACAATTCACAGTTTGATGGAAATATTTGTTCGATGTTTATTTCAATTTTCACAACGTTTCGTCGGTTTCCCGACTTACTCAGGTGCTAGAACAATTAAATACAAAATATTTTACAATACTATTACTTATAATTACATTACAAAATATTATCATGACTTTGTATAACTTGGACAGTATAAACTCAACTCAAAAATTAAATTTATGACTAAGTCTAAGAATACATCAAAAGACATACTTCAATTATTAAACATCAATTGTTAAAATCATGTTATATGTTATACAAAGTCATGATAATATTTTTGAATGTAATTATAAGAATAGTATTGTAGAATATTTTGCATTTAATTGTTCTAGCACCTGAGGAAGTCGGGAAACCGAAGAAACGTTGTGAAAATTTAAATAAATATTTCCATCAAACTGTGAATTGTTATTTTATTTTTTTTTTCTTTAACACTCGATTTTAAATTTGATATTGTTCTGATTTAATCCTTATAATTTCTATATTTATCATTTTTTTAATTACTTTTGAACACACGGATATCCCTCTAATTATAAAAAAATATAACTAAATTCTTTAGCATTAAAATTAAATAATTCAAAATAAAATGAATTTTTTACTGTAATTTGAAAGTAAAAGAAAAATTTTCACCTGATTTTTTGTCCTACTTATTTTGGCGCCAGTTATTTTGGCACTGCGACTATATTGTTTTCCGATTAATTAGTCATCGATTAAGTAGTCTTGACACCAATTGTTCTTTTAGTAAGCAATGGTCCAATAATAAACTACTCCAAATTAATTCTAATCGATTCTTTTTTTTTTTTTAAATAAATATTTATAATTTCAGACATTATTTCTTAGAATATTTTGAAATTTGATATTTACTTGGCAATTATTAAAATATTAAAATGAATGCCAGAAAATTTAAGATTTTAAATGAAATTTTACTAATTATTATTACACTGATGTCATAAATGTGAATAATTTGTTATTTTCTTAAGGAATACTTAAATGCCAGAAGTAAATTTAAATATTATGCAAGTCTTAATTTTACGGCTAAGTATCTGATGAGCGATCGAGTTTATGACATGTACGAAAATAAATTTATATTCTTTATGGTCTAAGTAATGGAAAGGCGCCACAGTACATGCCACTTATTTAATAATAATTTTACTTTTTGTGTTCTTATATATACTGAGCAAAAAATTTTTTTTCTTTACATATTTTTCGCGTTAAAATATTTTATCGAAAACAATAAGACATTCAAGTAGTTTTGCACTACAATTGTAGCTTGGAACATCAAGAGTGCTTTTGATCGCTCAGAACAAATGGAATCATACCCCGAAATCCAAAACTTAATAACATAAAATTTAATTGCAACGTAAAAATAACAGTTACGTTTTGCGTTACGATTTAACGATCACGTCACATGTATAACCCGTAACTTTTATTTTAATACTTTACTACCATTATAAAGTTAAGTCAAAAAAGTTTTATACTTTTATCACAATGGCCTGAGTTTCCTTGGCGAATAAAGTTGCGTGCCATGCGTCTTCGGACTCTTCTCCGGGACTCAGCAAAGGTGTAACCATAAAAGTCCCATGCCCGTAATTCGGCTTTTTAATCCCATCAAGCGTGAACACGATCGACACTCCATCGATTTCTGGGTCGTAATCTCGATTTAGAAAAATCCTCAGGAAAAATTCCTGTCCACGTCTGACCACCAGTCGCGAGTCGCCTTCTTTGCGGTTCATTATTTCGTACCGCGACGTGTTGTGCGCTTCTCCATTTTCGGAAGTCAGCGGGTCTAATCTCAGGATTGTCAACATTGGAATATCGAAATCTCCCCCTTTGAAATAAATAAAAAAATTAAAAAAAAAAAAATTATAATTAAATGCATTAATATTTTTATTAAGACCACAAAATTTTTCTAAAAATAATTTAAAAAATTAGCAGTCAAAAAATATTTAAAAAAAATTTTATACTCAATTTTTTTACAGTAACTTGTTAAGAAAAAGTATAAAAAATTCAAATTATTGATAAAATTTATTATTAATTAATATAAAATTCCAAAATAAATTTTTTTAGTTATAATTTATAATACTTGAAACTGTAAATTGATAAGTGTGTTAAATTTTAATAATAATCTTCAATAAAACAATTTTCTTATCCAAAAAACCAAAAATGTACTCTCGTTAGTTCTCACGTACTCACAATGAAATCTAAATGGAAATGGTCTGAAGGACCCATCGTTGGGGGCACGGTAGCTATCATAAAATCTGTAAAACATCCTCGTAATCCTGTGAATCGCTGATTACCCTCTCAAGTAATTGAGATAATCGTCAGAGACTTAATCGTGATTTGAATATTCAAATTATATTATTATTACTTCAACAATTTTTTTTTTTTAACGTGTAGTGTTAAAAAAAGGGCAAAAAAAATGAAAATGCACAAAATAAAGTAATTAAAACTTGTAACCGTGGGAAGTTAAGTAGGCGATTGATAATAACTAACAATAAATGTTTGGTATCAAACGAGTGGTTAAAAATGAAATTCCGCGTCCGCTAATACTTGATGTTAGTTAAGAGTCTAGTGAAATACTAGCACACTGTTAGTGAACAAAACAAAGCGTAGTCGTATGAATTCATTGAGATTATATTTATTGAACCGACGGTGGGACGCTGCGTAAAGGTAAAAATGAAAGAAGAGGAGGAAAAAATGCATGCAGTTTTGTATTACATTATATTTTATTCATCGTGTACCTATTAATTACACGCAATAATAATTTAACATCAGCTGAGAGATGTAAGTCTCATTTCAAGGCTTCACCTTGCACACGTGCAACTTTTATTTAGTGTCGCCATAATTGGCGGGAACTAAGTAAAAGATGTCGATGTCGATTTGAAATATAATGAAAGAGAGAGTAATATAAGTAACGACTAGCTGTCACCCACTTAACTTGGATGTACGATAAATTCCTAGTAGATGGCGAGACAAGCTCCTTGTTCGATTATGGAGTTTACTCTTTCGATTATTATTAATCGTTACCAAATTTAGGTACTTTTATTTCATGCAATAAATATTACCGTGTAATTTAATGTTGAGTATTGAGTGAGTGTACAATTTGTTGTTAATGTGGGATTTTAAATAACACCTTAGATTATCTTATTCAAATGTCTGACCATATTCGGAGATTCTACTTAATGCCCACGCGCACTTTAGTTGTAATGTAAGGTGTAATGCTAGGTGGATGTGGAAGAATTTATTAAGGCAAATAATCTTTGTTGGGATAAAGTCTTTTCTGATTTCATTATTTCTAATGATAAATTGTTACATTGTTTGTTTTGTATTTTATTGGATAAAATTTTATTTATTGTTCTTAGTTAAGATTGTAATTAGGTGTTTGATTATTCTGGTAGGTGGCAAAGTTGCTACTGTTGATTAATTGCAAATTATCGAGATTTATTTATAAAATTTAAATTTTTAACAAAATGACTCATGATTAAAATTTCTAACTACTTAATAATTATTACTCACCAAATAAAAACAAACAAAGTCACTGAAGTATTTCAGGCGTAAAAAAATCTAAATGTCAAATACCTTTTACTTCAACGAATTTAAAAGTCAAAGTAATGATTAATGCATTTAAAATTTCGGTTTTATACAAGCAGTAGAAAAATATCAGATATCATAATTACTTGTGGAAGCTTTTTCGGGTTAAATTAGTTTCAAAATATTTTAAATATCAATTGGGTATACTTTGTTAAGATTATCTTAATTAATTTAGGTACACTGATAGAAGGATTTGTTTGTATTTAATAAATCAATTTATTAAAATCTTTTTCAGATATTTTTTTGGGTGGAAAAAATATTTTTTTACTATTAACAATATTCGTTAGTATTAACTAAATCAATTTTTTATGAGAACAAAATTTTTGTAACTATTAAGAAGCTTTTGTGTATTGAAAAAAGTATTTATTTCCACCAAATAAGATTTGTTAATAGTTAACAAATATTTTGTTGGTGGTCGATGTTGGTAGAAGGATAAAAAATCCTTCTATCAGTGCAAGTTTAAAAATTTTTCTCTTGTCAATTTTTTTTTTCCGTGTAAAAAAAATTCTTCTATCAGTGGTACTAATCATAGTTATAATTTATCAATTGATTGTTTTATTTCGACATTTGTTGTTTGTGTCGAAGAAACTAGGGCTCGTGATTATGATTGATCAATTATGTGATTAAAATTTCTATAATTGTAATGTCCGGTCAAATTTAGGAAATACGTGATGATGAATGAGTTTGCAATTTTTTTCTACGAATTATCGTTCTTTTAATCTACATTCACGGTTTTTGCCGGATGATTAACCATATAGATATCCGTGTTTCTTAAAAACTATGATAAAAAATATTGCTCATCTTTTTTATGACCTCAACATAAGATATACTGAAAAAATGGAGAGTATACAATATTGAAGTCACTGATCTAAGCGATAAAAAGTTATTCTCCTTAAAAAAGATTACTAAGTGCGACAACTAGCACTTCTTATCATTTCTATCAAAATTCTATAACATTTTACTTCACGTGCCGAATCATAAAATAGATAACGGTAGAGAAATTGTTTTATTACAAGTTATAAATCGTCAATCTTAAAATAATTATTTTTATCCGTAATTTTTTAATAAAAATTCTTCACAGATCTCTCATAATTTAACTTAATAATTAAAATTTTAATTTAATTAATGGTATTTAGAAATTATTTTTAGAAGTTAAACATTTATTTATAAATTAATTTAAATTAATTAAAAATAGATGCTTGGAAAATTAAAAAAAAAAATAATGACCTCATTAATTTGTAAACTACTTTAAAATTTAAATTTGTTTATAAAACGATTTAGTAGTCTATTAATGTTTAGCTCCATAATGAGAAAACTAATCACTCTGAAAAATCAATTGTACTCAATATTATATATGTAACATAAAACTGATTAATGTTCATAGCGAAAAAAATGTAAGTAAATTTGAATAGTAATTTATCAAAAGATCTTAATTATTCCCGGTGAATATTATAAGTATGCAAATATATTGAAATTTATATTTATATTATATTAGTAGAATTATTAATCGCATAAGGATGACGTGAGGAGAGGCTCAGGCTTTACTTATGAGCCGATACAGTTGATTGACAATAATGTAACAGACTGCATCGGCTGAAACGGGAGCACTAAGTGTTATATATATATATCGTAATCGTAACTGGGAGCGCATTCTCTCGACTTCTACTCGCCAGATTAACGCTAAGAGCAATATCTAAAATATCCAGCTAATATAAACACAATCTGTAACGGCTGAATAAATTTACGTTTCACCAAAAATATATTTATGCGCACATATTTAGATAATCCTCAAGGTCGCTTTGTCAATCGATTTATCTCTCTTTTTTTTTATTTATTTAGTATCGATAATTCATTTTGTGAAATTTTGATACAAACTTTTGCTAAATATAATTTTAATGATATTTATTATGCATTGCTCAGTTTATGTATAGAAAAATTATGCAACAAGGTTTGAAGGATTAATGAGAGTACTTAGCTGAAGTTTATTAACAATGAGTTACGTTATTATTAATAACATAAGACTTTGTCCGAAAATATATCTATGCAGTCATTCATTACGCAAATAAGAGTTAACGCTGTTCTATTAATTTTAATTTATATTATAATTATTATTTGTAATGAATAATATTTTAATATTCATTAATAAATATTTATAGAGTTTCAATTTTATTAAAAATTTAGTCGATATTTAATTTAATAGATATGATTTTTTTTTTTACAAAAAGTAAAAAAATTTGATACTTTTATGGAGTAAAATTAAAAAAAAAATATTTAATATGTTTTATGACGTAGAAGACCGGAAGATATGCTTCATTGGTGATTAGTTAAAATTATACGTTTAAATCAAATTAAATCACCTTTACAAATTGTCGACTATATTTATATACTCAGCAAATTGCAATTGACAACCGGTTGTAACTATAAACTCAATTTTTCCGCTGTTTTTTTTTTTTTCAAGCTCAAAAATATATTTTATTTTTAATATTAATTAATTAATATATTAATTAATTAATTACACTATTTCAAGCTTTAAAAAAATTTTTTTTCCAACAAAGCTTTCAAAAATTTGAACAAATAAGCAAATTTTGATCTTTGATTGCAAAATATTTGAGAAAATTGTAACAATAATAAAATTTCTGACTCAAAAAGTAATTTTTATGCATTGAAGTATTCAAAAAGTAGTCACTTACACAGAGGAAAATTTTTTGGGTTAACCGGAGGAATCTTGACTGAAGGAAATGTCAAGGAAGACTGCAATTATTTCAAACGAAGCAAAATTTTCTCGAGCCAAAAATATTTCCTTGCCTCCAGAAAATGTTTACTTCAGTCAAAACTATTTCAGTCTTCCGTGAAAATTTTTTTGAGCCAAAAATGTTTTTTGGACAGGTGAATATTGGCTAAAGATAAATATTTAGCAAATTTCGAATTAGGTAAAATATTTTGGAATAAAAAATTTTTGAAAAGAATTTTACATGACTGAGCCCAAAATTTCAAAACACCTCAATCGAGGAATTGTTCCAAATTTATTAAAAAATTCATTCATAATTTTGAATTTTTACAAAAAATCAAATTTTAATAATTAGACTAACAAAAATAACTCCAAAAATGTACTCCTAAAAAAAGTTCAAATTTTTCCTACAATTACAAACTTTTAGTAAAAACCTAAGCAAATTTCCCAACCATAAAAAAATTAACAATATATACCCAGAATTAAGCAATAAATTAGTTTTGAATAGCCCTTGAACGCATCGACATGTTGCCCAAATGCGAGTAAAGTGATTGTAATGATAGAATTTCAAAACAAATTTCCAGCATGTGTAAAGCTGTATGCTGTATACACAATACATATGTTTCTCGGATAAAGGCATCTACAGAAAATCTATTCTCGGCTGATCAAGGTAACATAACTAAACTGAAACACGTTGTTGGCTTTTCGAGCCACGCGCCTATTTATTCCCACGCGAATAATCTTAGGCCTTTTTATTCTAGCATCACATTAGTACATTACATACTTAAGAATAATATAAATACTTTGGCCCTGTTTATTCCCATTACTACATATATACACTAAAATATGCATCAATTTACTATTTTTAATTTTTTATTTCTTCTATTTTCAATACTGCTTTTCACTCTTACCATCTTCGGCTATGATCTCACAGCAAAACCGTGACATATCGGAATTATGCAACGACAAATTTAAAGCCTTGAACACTCGATATTATTTCTTAAATAATTACGGTAGCTACTCTCCTTGATAATGAATTCTTTACATTAACAGCTATTGTATGTACACTGCGTCATTTTTATTCATATGTACAAACAGTATTATCGGTGATAATAAAATATTATATTCCACTTGAATATTTTTTTTTCTTTAATACTATCATTATTATTTAATTAAGTACACGTGGGAGTCAGTAATACTTTATATTAACAGACTATTAATCTACGACCTTCTCTTATTTAATAAAAACAATCTTTTCTCTTAATCTCTCAATTTTTTAATTTCATAAATTTTTTTTTTTTCTTTTAACACAAATGATCTAACTGTTTACTTAAAAAATTTTTAATAAATAATTTATACAAACCAATCTCATCACTGGTCGGTGGCTTCGGAAGACACTCGGGTTTAGTACACAAATTATTCATCCACACATTGTGTTGACGTTTTCGAAATCGAAATAACGATCGAAATTTTTTCGAGCATGTCGAGCAACAATTACCCATTTTCTTTTTTTAACTTTTTTCACAAAAATTTAATAATAAATAAAAAAAAAAAAATAAAATCAGTCTTAAAAAAAATAATTTTTTTTTTCAATTAAAATTCTAGAGAATAAAAAATAAAAGCAACAGTGTTAATACCGGTATAGTGCGAGAGTGACTGTTGCATGGCTCTAATAAACACATCACTACAAAGTTTCGCTGTATCATTGACTGAGAGCTTGAGAATTCTCAATTCTCAATTCGAGGCATCCCTACTATATACTCACACGTGAAGCTACTCGTATCGTTCATTCATTCATTCATTAATAAATTTACAACTACAACTATATTACGCAGAAGTTCGATCTACCGAGTTATGTTCTAATTGAACTTTCAACTGTTACTAAAGGCTAAATTAAATTTAATATCCTTATCTAGTCTAGGTGTAAAATTATTTTATTATTATACTAGAGTCATATCATGAAATTTCGTAATATGTGATATTGTAATTTTAATGACTAATTTCTAATAAAAATCTTTATGGGCTGATAATTACATGTTTGAATGTCTACGTCAGTGATAATGAAAATAATGATGAAGGAAAAAATAAATAAATGATAATAATAATAAATTTTAGGAATTTTAGATTATTATTTAAATTATTAAGAGAATAAGGAAAATTTTATGTCCAGGATAGTCATAGGATAAAATCGGTTTTTTAAGATGAAATTTAGCGTCATTGTAAAAGTCTTGACTTGAATTTATGCCTTTTCAAGGTTTCATATCATTCTGTCCGATAGTCAATTTATGATGATAAGTATTTTGGCTGCATCCGAAAATACTCTATCTCTAGATACATAATTAAGAAATTACCTTGTATCTTGTGAACTATTGACATTTGTAAATATATAAGCTCATCATGACATTACACTCATCGAGACCTTTCATTTGAGTACCCACATCAATTTTTCATATATTTATATATATTTTATATATGAATATATGAAAAATATATCAAAATGCATGTGGGTACTCAAATGAAAGCTCTTGATGAATATAACATCAGGATGAGCTTATATCTTTAAAAATGTCAATAGTTCACAATATATTTGTTAAAATGCCTTGTACTTATTTAACTATTGACATTTTTAAAGATATAAGCTCACCCCGACATTACATTCATCGAGACCTTTCACTTGAGTACCCACATCAATTTTTCATATATTTATAAATATTATATATATGTATCCCATAATAAAATTGAGATGAAATGTATGTGGCATCAAACTATTCGTAACGTGATTGGTCAAATATATCATAAGCATGAAAATATATGCAAACTTTACAGTCAAGGCGCGCGCTTGCGCGCGAAAATTAAATTCTAGTATATGAAAAATATATCAAAATGCATGTGGGTACTCAAATGAAAGCTCTTGATAAGTGTAAACATCGGGATGAGCTTATATCTTTGCAAATGTCAATATTTAAGAAAGTACAGTGCAATTTGACTAAAGTCATTATTTTACAAAGCAAAATTTTATTTATTTATAGTTCACAAGTCACGGCAGTCACATAGTGACTGTTAGGTTGCTCGTTATTGTTATGATTATAGCGACTAATAATCGTAATCATAATCATGTGTAAGTATAAGTTTGAATATACACACATATATGTGTAGATAAATGTGGTCGATAGTAATATGAAATGTGTTACGATGACCACATGGATGTGTCAATCTTTAATATAGAAGACTGATTGAAAGTGAGATTGTATTTTCTCTTAGTACAATACACTATTTTTTAAATATATTCGGTTTCAGGATTAAATATTACTCACTTCGACATGTGACATTACTCACGTCTTATGTGTGAAATAGACTGGATAATCAATAAAATAAATAGTATATAAATTTAGTTGATCGTTGGACGATTTTAAAGGGAATTTTTTTGATAATTTTAAAACTACATTATTTAAAATATATGGAACAATTTTGAATTTTTGAAATATTGCTTGTTAAATTGAGCACTAAGAGGAAAAATAGAGTAAGCGGTATCATCGGAAAAAACGAAAAAATTTAAGCCGGTATAAATTTTATTGGCAAAAAAATTTTAATAAAATGAATGACAGGATCATTTTTTTTTTTATTATACTCAAGACTAGAGTTATAAAGATAGTGTAAAACAATGAGGATAAAAGTAAATGTATTGATTTATTTATTGGATTGAAGAGGTTGGAGAATTTTCCACCTCGAAGTTTGGGCTAATCTCCGCTGCTCTGTTATCTTCTAAAACGATAACTGTACGGAGTATATCGTCCAGTTGGATCAGTAAGTATCGATAGGCTAGTTTGCCGTTATCATCCTGGTAACAAAAAATATATTTAATCAACAAATTGAACTGTTTTCAAATTTTGTCATTTACTCGTTTCAATTTAACCATACACCATACACTCGTAAACTCTAAAAAAAAATAAAATAATTAAATTCATGCAATTAATTTTTTTATAATTAAAAAAAGTTTATTATTTTTGCAAAAAAAAAGTTTTGAAAAATAGATTGAAATTTTTTTTTCAACTGTGTTTTTTTATAATACTAAAGTTGGTCGAAGTTTTTAATTTTTTTCATTTATTAAATAAGAACTAAAAATATTTTTTAAAAATTGCACTTGTAGTTTTTAAAGTTTTTTACGAATGAAAATTTTTAATTTCTTTTTTTTGTAACAATTTTTTCAATAAAAAAATTCTAAGTTTTTAGATGTCGGCTAACTTAATTTTAATGGTTTTTTTTTTTAAAGTATTAATAGGATTAAGTCAAAGGTATGTCAATTTAAATATAAATATCTTCTGTGTTATTTATAAGTAATACTTTGATGAATCAAAAATAATACGTTCATACAGAAACCTCTTCAATTAATAACTTTTTGAATAATTAATTCTGTCCTAAAATTACATAGTGAGTGAAATATATAAAAGGTGAGAACTGACAAGTTGAGTACTTCGCTCGATATTAATTTATAAGATCAAGGAATTAAAATTCGTCACGACCCAAAATTCTTGGTTAGAGTTTGAAGACACTTCACGATCAATGAATTATTATTATTATTATTATTATTATTATTATTATTATTATTATTATTATTGTTATTATTATTATTATTATATATTCAGCGATGAATTAAATACTATTCATTTAAAGTTACTGCACTTTAAAATGAATTTTAGAATATATATTGGATATTAAATTCCTCGAATGACATCTTCAGATTCATAAATTTAAATATTAATTAACATAACATTTATACCAGTGAAATGGATGATATTTAAATTTAAGGTATTGAATAGAAATAAAAATAATAAATTACCTCTCTCATCTCTAAATGTACTGTCCCCTTTTTACGGTCTCCCTGGAGGTAAAATTGCATTCTTATATGCGGTCTACCATCACGCGTAAAAACGACATGACTAGCGCGCTGACGTCTTCCCCGGCGAGTTTCCTCGCCGTAGGCTTTTATCGGCTCGCCGAGTGTGTCAACGACTCTCGGATCTTTGATGCATTTGTCTACGGTACTACTGTAAATATTGTTAGGGCTTTTTTCCGAAAACAGTTCCCGGAAAATCGTGTAGAACATCAATGCTGTTATACCCACACCAGCCACTATCACGCCCGTGTACCATACTGACTTGGTGTTCTCTTTAACTAAAATATTATCAATTAATAGATATGATTTAATTAAATTTTATTTATTGTTTGCCAAAGTCAGGAAAATAATTTTTTATTTATAATTATAATTATAATATACTCTAATGTTTCCCGAAGAAGCCAAGTTAATTAAAAAAATATAAAACTCTAATTGTCACTATAATTCTTTTTAGTTGTGCTTTGAAATTTTTCATACTTGTTAAATTGCTTATTATATGTAATTGGTTAAAGTGGTGGTCAATGATCTTGTAGTTACAAGGCGATCTTAAATAAATTAAAAAAAAAAATTTTTAATTTCCTTAGCGGGAAGTTGAAAAAAAATTTTTTTATTTATAATTATAATTTTACAAGGACTCCATTTAAAAAAAAAGACAAAAAATAATTGAAATTTGAATTCTTTCGAATAATTTTGAATATTTTCAATAGCTTTTAATTTTTTTTCATATAAAAAACGGAAACTGTTAATTTTTTTGAATTATTTTTATTTAACTTGGGAAATTAAAGCTCTATAAAATGTGAGGAGTTTCATAACTTTGATAAGTTTAAAAATATAAAATATTAAAAAGAATTTTACCTACTTCTGCAAATGACGTTGATACTTGACTTTCATTTGCGTGATTATCAAAATGCGTAATTTCTGATTTCTTCTTTTCATTTTCGTTTGAATATTTTCTTAGTATTATTTTGTCAATATTAAAAGATAATAACGATAATGATGAAATTCCATTGTATTTACATGATTTTTGTCTAAGTATATTGTTTAGTACTCTTATTGTTGCCATTCTGGAAATAACTAATCATTATTTCAATTTAAAAAATTAATTTAATAAAATTATAAATAAATTTTCAAAATTTAAAGTGTTAAGTTTTTTGTAAAAATGCAAGCAAGTAATTTTTTTAATAGTAATATAGCAATTGTCAAAAGTTAATTTCTTAAAAATTATAAAAATCTTTATACATTTTACAACTTACCTTAGACTAATTTTTCATTGTTTATTTAAATTTTACAGAACAAAAATTATAACCCTCAAAATTTCACAAATGAAAAACATGGACATACATACACACATACATATACAAGTAAGCGGCATCGGTAAGAAAGTTACCGGGTTTCAAAAACTTGGACATACATATTTTCTAGCAAAGAAATACACATAAGCGCCGCTTATGATTCAATAGTAAAATTGTAAAAAAATTGAAAAATATGTTTATGAAGAATTTTAATATTTTAACTATTACTAGCATGTTTAATAAAATAATTAAAAATATTAACAAACCTCGGCAGAGAAATAATACGCAGAAGGGTTTACACTTTCAGGAAGATCCAAGTGTTTATCAGCTAAACTACATCACTTAACTGCTATTTCTCTACCGTACAACTGCGCGCAGCAATTCTTGATGATGAAAAATTGTAAAGTTGTCCTGGGCTTCTGAAAACTCTGTTGATTTTTTTTAACACTACCTTTCTTCATTTTTTGACACTTAAAATATTCAAGTTCTCAGAATGATACTGAAATCAGCATGACATTTAATGAAAATTAAGTTAGCCGACATCAAAAAACTCAGAAATTTTTTTATTGAAAAATTATTACAAAAAAAAAAGAAAATAAAAAATTTCACTTGTAAAAAACTTGAAAAACTATCAGTGCAATTTTTTAAAAATATTTTTTAGTTTTTATTTATGACACTGAAGTTAGCAGAAGTCTAAAAATTTATTATTTTTTTTTTTTTTTAATTAAATTACAACTAAAACGATATTTTTAAAAAATTACACTTATAGTTTTTCAAGTTTTTAACAAGTGATATTTTTTTTTTAATTGTTTAATTGAAATTTTTTGGATAAAACAATTTCTAAAAAGAGTGTGGCTATTCAAACACTCCCGTGCGGAGCACGTTAGAACCAATGTTCTAAAAATTTTGAAATGTCAGCTAACTTCATTTTTATTTAATAAATAAAAAATAATTAAAAAATTAAAAATGTCGGCTAACTTTATAGTATTATTGACATTTAAGTTTAGCAGTCACTTGATTATTTTATAATTTTTTTTAACAAATAAATTTATTCCAAAAAATTATTTTAAAAAATTGCATTTATAAATTTTCACAACTTTTATTTGTGGAATTTTTTTTTGTCATCATTTATTCTTAAAAAAAAAAAGAACCCTAAAAATTATCAAACGTCTGTCAATTTCAGTATCATGTTCCGAGATTAAAATAAAAAAAATTTTCGCGTCTATCTATAACAATTACTTTCGCGAACGTAAATTCAATTATTAAAAAAATTTCTAAATAACTTGAATTAAATAATTCATTCACAATTATTATACTCATAGTTTACTAATAATACTTTAAATAAAACAATTTTACACCAAAAGTACTACTTTTCAAAAATTATACACATGAAAGGAATCATGAATAGAGCAAGATGTCCGCGACGCGCGCGTTCCTCTTTGTTACTCACTTGACGACTGAACTGGTACGCTAGATATCTAAATTGCCAAGTCATCTCTACCATTCTGCGCATCTGCGCGTCAGTCATCTTGAATTTTTAAAAAGCGCGAAATTTAAATTACTAAAAAAATTTTTTTTAAGTTTATTATAAAAAACAAAAATAAAATTTATAATAAAAGTTAATTATAATAATTGAAAAATTAATTTAAAATTTTCACTAAAAAAATAAAATATTTGTAAAAATTTTAATTTTTTCAATTGTAAGTTACAGGTTAGGATAAACATAACCACGTAAACATTGTTCTGTCAGAATGTCAAGCAGAAGTAAATAGTAAAATACCGAGAGAGTGTCTAGTCGCAGTTGCAAACAATGATTTGACAACAAAAAATAACATAATCAAAATATATGTAACATAATAAATAAGAACAAAGTAAAATTTTATAATTTATTATTCGACTGATTTAAGATTTTAAAATTTTTATTGAAACGTTGTAAATATGGCAGAGTCGATGGATATTACGATTAGTGATATTGGTAGCTGGATTGCGTCTGGTGCTATGATATTTGGTGGAATAGTTCCTTATATTCCACAATACAGAGAAATAAAAAAAAAGGAAGATGCTGATGGATTTTCTCTTTATGTTTGTCTGGCGCTTTTAATCGCTAACACTCTGAGGATATTATTTTGGTAGGTTTTATTTTATCATTCATAAAAATAATGATTTTTATTTTTATTCATTTAATTTTTTAATAATGAAAATTTTATTTTCAGGTACAAGTTTATCAGAAAAATTTTTTACTTCAAGCTTGAAAAAATATTTTTATTAAAATATTAAATTTTATTTATCAAATTATTTTTTATTTTTCAATTAAAAGTCTTTATAAAGTATAGAGTTAAATGTAAAAAATAATTGTTAAAATACTAATGCTTGAAAAAAAATTAGTTTTATTTGAAAATTAAATTTTAGGTTAAAAATTTTTTAATGTGAAAAATTAATGATGTTAAAATTAAGAGATAAAAATTTAATTACTATAAAAATTATTTAGTAAAATTAATTTCACTTAAAATTTTTGAAAGTATTTTTTTCTATCATAATTGATTTGTTATAACAATTAAAAAAATTAATGAAAATTAAATTAACCGACACTCAAAAATTTTTTATTAATTAAAAATTAGAACTAAGAAACTATTTTTTAAAAATTCCACGTATAATTTTTAAAGTTTTCTACATGTGAAAATTTTTGTTTTAATTTTTTATTAATTGTTTTTTAATAAAATAAATTATAAAAATTTTCCAATGTCTAATTTAATTTTCATAAAAAATTATTAAATTTCTGCTGACTAATTTTATAAAAAATTTCAATCAATTTATTAAAAATAATGAATTCTTTTTAAAAACATTTTATGTTAATATTACGTCAATTTAATTTTGTAAATATTTTTCACAACTTGTTACTTAATTATGAACAGTAATTTATAATTAATGCAAGTTCATACTCAGCTACAAGGCTATTTTGACAACTATCAACTAGTAATTAATTGTTGAAATAAAAAAAGCACGTCATTAATAATATATATTTTTATTTTCAAGGTTCGGAAAACGTTTTGAATTACCTCTTCTCTTCCAAAGTATTTTAATGAACATAACAATGTTATTCATGATAAAATTATGCGTGAATATCAATACCAAAAATCAGATAATCAAACTAAAGGATCGAGTATTCACAGGTATGTTGATAAAAATATAAATTATTGAGGTCTGTCATTTTAAAACTTGGCTGTAAATTTAATACTAAATGAATAATTTAAAAATTACTCAAGTTATAAAATGACCGACCTCAGATAATTTACAAAGTAAAAAGTTGTGACTGACATTCCCTTATAATCATTGCATTAGAAACTCTCACTATTTTTTTTTTAGTATCTAGTATTATAATTTGACTTGAAATTTAGTTGAATTATGTATTGCTGTAACATCCTTGTTTGTATTCATGTAGTTTCCATTTAAAACTAATTCAAATAGATTTGGACATTAAATACTTTTGGAAATGGACAGACTTCCAGTCCTATTTGGATTTTGTCTTGCTAGTCGGAGTTATTGGAGGAGTTGCCATGTATATATTTGTCGATTACCCGATATTCGTTGAAACAGTCGGCCTATTAGCAGTTTTAACTGAAGCGATGCTTGGGGTTCCTCAGTTTTTGCGTAATCTTGATAACAAATCCACTGAAGGAATGAGGTAATACTTTTTATCTTTAACTAACTTTATCAACTTTATTTTTAAATTAATTTTTTTTTTCACACTTTATATGCAATTTTTTCCTAATTTATAATTTTAATAATTAATATTTACTAACTCATAATAAATTACAATTTTTTATGTACATAGTTCTAAAATTTCAGTAAAATTTTTTGAAATTTTACAGAAGAATATTTGAATAAAATATACTAGCAACCTTGCAGTCACTATGTGCTATATAAGCTCATCCCGATGTTACACTCATTAAGAGCTTCCATTTGAGTACCCACATGCATTTTGATATATTTTTCATATATACATATATGTAATATATATAAATATATGAAAAATTGATGTGGGTACTCAAATGAAAGGTCTCGATGAGTGTAATGCCAAGATGAGCTTATATCTTAAAAAATATCAATAGTTCTCAAGATACAAGTTAATTTTAATCAAATTTCAGTATCGTGATGGTCACCATGTGGACCGTGGGTGACACATTCAAAACCTGTTACTTTCTTTACCGAGAAGCTCCAGTTCAATTCAGTATCTGCGGGGCTCTACAAATAATTGTTGACTTAGGAATTTTATTACAAGTGTACATTTATAGAAATAAAACTCCTGTAAGACCGGTGCTACGAACAGACTGACGATAAGTCTGATATTATTTTATTAGCCATTTTCATTTTTGACTTGTTTAAGAAACCAAATAAAAAAAAAATAAAAAAATTACCTAGATTAATTCTAAACTAAGGAATTTAATATCTTTTAGCTGTACTGTCTTTCCAATTTTTAAAATACTTTATAAAAAATAAATATTGTAATTCGATAATGTATTTTAATGTTTATATTTGATAAAAATTATACAAATAATTTTTTATTACTTGAAATATAAAATCAAAATTGTCTTTTAAATTTTGACTGTAAAACTAGATTATAAATAAATTATAAAAATTAATTTTTTTTTTTTTTAATTATTTTTACTTACTATAATTTAAAGAGATATTTATTTAAAGCTTCTGTCATATTAAAATAAAATATAAAATTGTATTTTATTAAGTAGACTGAAAAAAAAAAAATTTTAATATCTGTACATTTAAATTAATAATTTATAATTTCTGTTCAATTTTAAATAAAACTATTTATAAAATTCATACATGTATTATATTTATATATTTACACAATAAAGAGTGTGCGTTACCATAGCAACGTTAATGTCAATACAAGTGTCATAACAAGTACTTACCATGCTCCTGTCATAATTACATTGTTTTATAATAATTAGTTTTCGTATTATTACTAAAATAAAAAATTTTAAAATGGGTGAAGATTTAAAACAAATTATAATTGATTTGAATAAATTTTTGAATAAAAATTTATCATTGATATCTTTCAAGGCGCTTACACCTACAGATCTATTACAAGTAAATATTTGTCATTTATAATTTTGATTATCTGTAATTAATTGCTTTCAGTATGAAAGTAATTGAAAAATTCATTAATGACTGATTTTAGCTACTGAGTGATGTGCTGTCAAAAATAACAGAGACACCAAGGATTAACATAATCGATGAGAATATTGAACAATCAACTATGCGAATTTTGTCGATATTAAAAATACTCAAGTATCAAACAAATAAAGATTTTTCATTATTTAGGTATTCAATTTTATTTTATTTTTTTAAAAAATAAAATAATAAAAGATACTTTCATTTTACATAATTTTTTTATTTTTATTTTTATCTTCACATTAAAATATTATCTACCTTAAAAATTCTTATCTTAGGTAAAAATATCCTTATTTGAATTTATTTTTAATTTTTTTTATTCCTTATTTTTCATTTATTACTTACAAATCTATATTCAAAATTTGCACAATAATTGTAAAATTTAATGTATATTTTTTTATTGCCATTTAGCATAATTAAAAAATAAACTAAACTAATTTTTTGCAGACAAAGATTGAGTAAAGGAGACCAAGATACTATTTGTGGTATTTTGCAATGGCTTTTTAAAAATATCGATATCGCACAAAAGCGAGCTTATTTATCAAGATTTTTAATAAAAGTAAATTATTTTATTATTTTAATTAATTTATATTATAGACTAGAGTTGTTTAATTAATAATTTTTTTTTTAATTTATAGATTGAAGTACCGGCAGAATATTTGCAAGACGCTGAAACATCGGCATTATATGAAAGATATTTAGAACTAGTTGAAGAATTTAAGATTGTACACAAAGAACGTGAAGCTGGTATAAAAGTAATTATTTGAATTAATTTCAAAAGCCTTTTAATTTTTTTGCATATTTTATTTTGTGGTTTTTTTTTTTAATGAACAATCTTTGGTTCAATGAATTAATAAATTTTTTTTTAGGGAAATGAAGCAGCCGCTGAACTTAAATCTGATTTACGAGCTATGGAAAAAGAACGCCAAGTACTCGTGGACAGGATTGAAAAAATAAAATCAAAAACGACCTCACAAGCGCATTTGTTACAAATTGCCCAGGAGTTGAGGCTGGAAAAAGATAGAGATCATGAATTAATATTGCAGCGTATGCAAGAAAATAAAGCTATTGAATCATTACAGGTATTTAATTTATTTTTTTTTTTATTAATTAAATTGGAACAAAAAAATATTTTTAAAAAATTGCACTTGAAGTTTTTCAAGTTTTTTACAAATGAAATTTAAAAAAAATTTTTTTGTAACAATTTTTTTAATAAAAAAAATTTTTAGATATCAGCTAACTTAATTTTCATTAATTTGTATATTATTTTTAACGTAACTTGTATTTTTTATTTTAAAATATTAATTAAGTAAATTATTGTAACATGAAATTAATTTAAAAAATTATTTTTTAATGTATTATAAATAATTTAAATTACAGAAATTTACGGCGTATTATGAGTCAATAAATTTTTAAAATTAATCAATTAATATTTCGATTAATTAAATAATTAAAAAATTGTTATTTTTAAGTAAAAAAATTATCAAACTCATTTCTTCAAATATTAAGATCCATTTTAATTATAATTTTAATTTAAAATCCAGAACAATTAAATTTAAAACTTAAAATAAATTAATTAAAATTATTTCCAGTTATCATTACAAAAAGCCGAGCAAAAACTCCAAACATTACAAAAAACCAAGGTTGAATTAACCCCGCAGTCTTTGCAACAGCGATTACAAGAAGAAGTGATGATTCTCATGGCGATTTACAACGAAAAAATGTCCAAAGAACTATCTGCATTGAAGTTGCGTGTCAATGCACTGAACAATGTCGTAAATACGCCTTACATTGGTCCAGATGACATAATCAAGCTTCGCCAGCAACTAGACGTGTTAGTACGCGAAATCCAGACTCTTGCAGAGAGCAAAATCACCGAAAACGGAAGCGAGAAGATAACTCCATTCAGACAGCAGGCAGCAGCAATCGCTGGAATAAAACGCACCACCCTTGATAAGCTGGAAAAGAATGAAAATGACCTAGCTGAGTTTACTATAAAGCTGGAAAACAAACGCGCTAAGACAAAACACTTGGCTGAAGATTCGATGCCCAAAGGTGAAGATCTAAAGCGCTATGTCGCGCGTTTGAAGACCAAAAGCGGGATGTACAAGCGCTGCAGAGCTGAATTGGCGGAACTTAGAGCTGAAGGCGGTATCTTGAGTCGCACTGATATTATTTTGGAGAATCAATTGAGTGACAGCAAGACTATGGATGCTATCAATATGATGAATTATGAGTACAATATTCCTGATAATTTTAATGAAAGCAATGCTAGCGATATTAATTTACAATTGACGCGTAACTTGTTGACGTTGAAGTCAAAGTTATCTTCTTTGTTGAATGGTAATATTAGTTATTTAATTCTTTTTTCTTTTTCTGTCTAGTATAAATTTTTTCTACAGATCTATATAATTAAGAGAATAAGAAAAATTTTGTCTCTGGTGTATTTACATTATAAAATGAGTTTTTTAAATTTGTTTTGTTTTGCACACGTAAAAATAAAAAAAAAATTTACTTGATTCAAGTAAATAATTTTGAAGAACTTCATCTTCTTGATTTGAGTAGAAAAATTCTTAAACTAATAAATTTAAGCAAATTTTACTTGATTCAATAATTGTTCATCTTGATTCGTTAATTTTTTTTTATGTAATATATTATATGCGCCGAGGGAGAAAAGTAGGACATTAAATACTATTTTTTTTTTTTCAATTTAATTAATGAAAAAAAAAAAAAATGAAAAACTTGAAAATTTTGTAACGAGCATATAATTATTTTAAAAAGAATTTTATTAGTTAAATTTTGCATTATCAGAAAGATCTTTATAAGAATATGTGCCTTTCCGCGATTTTGTAAATTTTTCAGTGATAGTAAATTTTTTGTAAGTTTTTGGAGCAGTTTTGATTAGTTTGTTGGTTCTATAAATTTTTTTCATTACATTTTTAATTAAATTTTGCATGCCTTAAAAATGAAAAAAATCTGTCAGAGTTTTTTGTAACTAATTCTGTCATAGCACTATTATTTTTTAAATTCATTTAAAAATTACTGAAACTATGCATAGTGTGATTAGAATTATAAAAAATAATTTAACTTATTAATAAGTTATTAATTAATTGAATAGAATGTAAATGTAACTAATAAAAATGATTGATAATTTTGCTTTTAAGATCTGAAGCCTCTAAGACAAAAAAATTATGACGTTGATGATAAATACGAACGCGCAAAGCGCAGCTATGATTCTATTGCTTCAAGTACACAGAATGCAATATCCAACTTGATCAATGAAGTTGAAAGTACTAGGAAGCTTATAGAAGAGGTATTACTGCTCATAGTTGAAAAAATAATTGTTTTTTTTTTATTTTGTGGTAATTTTGTTTTTAGAACGCGCAAGAAATGACGGAGCTTCAGAAAAAAATTGCGAAAATGAAGAAAATACAGCAGAATATCCAAGATGAAGTTCGAGTAAGTTTCTAGCACTTGAATAAATTTTATAAATTTGAATAAGATATACTTATGTTTTGTATTTACTGCTGCAGTCTTACGCAAACCCTAATGGCGAAAAGTCTCTTCAGGATAAGTTGAACGAGTCTATAATCAGTGAAGAGAAGAAATATAAATTGTTGAAAGATAAAGAAAAAAGTTTGAAGGAATTACTTAAGCAGAGTGTCAGTCAAACTCACCAATGGACAAGTCTTATTTCGTAAGTACTCAAGAATAATTTATAATAATTTTTAACGAGTTATTACATTATTATTTTTATATTTATTTGCAGAATATTCAAATCAAAAATTGAAAACTTTGCTGAAAACAAACGAAGAGATGGTATTGTTTTACGAAAAGATGGAACTGAAACTCTAATTTTAGAATAAAAAATTAAAATATTTATTAATTATATAATAGTAGAAATTTAAATTTTATCGCAGTATGAGATTATGAATTCATAGTTAAATTTTATCAATAATTTTAAGTATGAATTTAAAAAAAAAATATAAATTTATTTCTAAAATTCGAAAATTAAACGATTAAAAAAATATAACACTGAAATAAGCAAATATCTCCACAATTTTTTATTGTTTTTAAGATAAAAATTTTTACAAAAAAAAATTTACATTTTAGATCATTGATTTAGAATTTTTTCAGTAAAAAATTCTAAAAATTTTCAGATGTATGTAATTGTAAGAATCATAAAAAATGAAAAATTATTAATTAATTAGACTATTAAAAAATCACTCTTTAATTTGACACTTAATAATCAATAATACTCACAGCATGATAATAATATTAGTGAATTGATAACTTTTATTAAACAGTTAATTATTATTTAAGTAGCTAATGCCTTTACAAAATTATGAAACTAGAAAAACATAGAATAGTTAACAAAAAATATCAATAAAAAAATAACTTATTAATTATTACTCAGTGAGACTTTTTAAGAAAATTAATTATAAGTATTGAAGATCCAATTAAACTAATAAATAATCCAGCTCCAATCAATTTACGTTTCTGTGATTGGTTCTTAGTTTCATCGGCCTAAAAAAAATTTTAAAAGTAATTAATAATTAAATTATTCATAATGCTGAAGTTAGCTGACAACTATCAATTTTTTTTATAATAATTTAATTGATATAAAATTATAAAAAAATGTCTAATGTCTGTCAACTTCAGTTTCATAAATATTTAATTATTGATGAAAAAATATTTACTTCAATAATTGTCACCAATTTACGTATATCTGATTGAAGATCATTTAATTGTTGAATCGCACATTTAGTCACCAAATGAAGTGCCTCACTCGCTCGAACATTTTTATTTAGATCAATTACATAGTCCTCTTTTAGCTTAAACAATTTAACGCGATTAAAATTTATAAAAACTTGGAGAAATGCTAATTGTTGATGTGTATTTTTTATTATGTCCGACAATTTTTCTTCTCTGTAAATAATAAATTATAATAAGATTAATCATCATAAATAAATGACATTTAAAAAATTTTTTTGACAAACAAATTTCTTTCCAAAAATTAAAAAAAAAAAACCCATTTTTAATTTTTAAAAATTTCCACGTGTCAATTTTTTTTTGCCATAATTTATTTGTTAAGAAAATTATTAAATATCTGCTAAATTAATTTCCATTAAAAATAATTCTAACAATCCAATTGTCTATTTTATTTTTAATACTGAAGTTAGCTGACAATTGAAAATTTTATTTTCATTTTCACAAATAGAATTTTTTTTAAAATAATTTCATTGCTATAAAATTATACAAAAATAATTCTAATGTCAGTTAACTTCAGTGTTATTTTTATTTATGTTATTTATATTAACCTGACAGCTGAATTGTCAATCAACGAATTGAACGGTGACTTTGGTTTACGCAATTTAGAACCCAGTTGCTTGATAATTTTCTCAGCAAGTTCTTCAGAAGCACCTAGTGTCATAAAATCTTCTTTTGACAACTCGGACAGGACTGATGTTGATATATTACGTTTTTTGAACTCTGGTATCAAGTCAGCGGCCTCGAAACCCTCAAGTATCATCGCTGTTTGCTGAGTAAACCCAAAAACATCGTCACTTGGTAGATTCATTTTTTTTATGTCTTATTTTTTATTTGTTCAGTTAATGTTGCTGTTTTTAATGTAATTATTCACAAAACATTTGATGAAACACAAGAAAATACATCAGGAGCACATGATAGTGCAAGGTGTCAACGTTAACAACTGGTTATAATAATAATAATAATAATAATAATAATAATAATAATAATAACAAAAACACTGGGGTAATTTTTAATTCCACGACATCACTCTGCCATCTAGTGAGAATTTTTTGCAAACGATGGAATTTAATTTCTATTGGTAAGTTACCTTTATTTCATCAAACTAACATCCCAACACTGTACGCCTAACCTAAGGCGACTTTATAATACTTTCCAAACAATAACAAATAACAAATAGCCGTGAGCAGTATTTTATTTATTTATCAACTTAATAAACAGGTAAGTTATTAATTATTAATTACTGTTTGAAAATTAGCAGATATTTGATGACACTGAAGTTAGAAGACGTGTAAAAATTTTTGATTTTTTTTTATCAATTAAATTACTACTAAAAAGATATTTCTAAAAAATTGCACTTATAGTTTTTCAAGTTTTTTACATGTGACAATTTTTTTTTTCAATTGTTCAATTAAAATTTTTTCAATAAAAAATTTATAAAAATTTTGAAATGTCAGCTAACTTTATTTTCATGATATTTGATCATTTTATAAATTTCTGTAACAATTAAAACTGACAGAAATTTTAAAAAATAAACAATGCAATTTTTTATAAATAATTTTTTGGAGCAAATTTGTTTGTTAAAAAAAATTTGAAAAATGATCAAGTGAATGTTAAGTTAATTTTAATTTAAATGTTCTAATTATTGTCATTAATTTAATAGAATAATAATCATTATGAAGACTGCGCCGCATCAAAGATTGGTTATGGTTGGTGATCGTGATGGGTAAGTTTATATTATACATTTAATTATTAATTATAAAATTTTAAATAATATTTTTTTTTATCATAACATTAATTAGAAATTATTTTACAGGTTGAAAGAGCTCCTAAGACGGCGCCTTGTTGAATGCGGATGGCGTGACCAAGTTAAATTAATTTGTAAGGAATTGATCAAAGAAAAAGGAAGTGATATCACCTATGACAGCATGCTGTCAACTGTAACCAGCAGAGCCCGCACTCTTGTTCCTGATTCGGTTAAAAAAGAGTTATTGCAAAAAATAAAAAGCCAGTTGATGGCTCAAGAAGAGAAGCTAAAGATTTAAGTGCTTAATATTTAATATTTTAATTTATGAATATTTAGTATTTAATATCATATTTTTAATGTTTTTTTCTTACTATCAATTATATAATGTTAAGTTTCATTTTTATTAACTGTGGTTAATTTATTACTTATTAAGTAGATGCTTAATTAATTTATCTTCCACCAATAATTTAAGTATAAACTTTTTGTATTGATAGTTGTAAATACATTTTTTTTAATTCAGTAATCGTAAAAGTATATCGTTATTCAATTATTTGCTAAGTTATTCAATTAAAATTTATAATAAATGATGTTATTTTATAAGAAAATTAAAAATTTTTGAAATGTGTTTCTGTAATTTTTAAATTACCTCATAAACTAAATTTTAAAATATATATAGTCTACAATAAAAATGATAGATTAAAACATTATAAATTTTTTTATTTTGTCATGAAAATAAAATAAATAAAAGTTTGAAAGGTATAAATACAAGTAATTACTAAAAGACAACCAGTAATTATTTCAATTATCATAATAAAAAACTTTTGCTATACTTGCAAATTAAAAACTTTGGCTAACTTTATTATTAATTAACAATTTTAAAATTTTTTCTTAGCAATTAAATTTCAAATAAAAAAATTGCACGTATTTAAAATATTTAAAATCTTCTCTGTGTGAAAATTTTTCTTTTAATTTTTTTAATAAAAAAAAATTTTTTTAATTTTTAAATATTGGCTAATTTTATTTTTATAAATTGAATCTCGGCTAATTTTAGTTTCATTTTTAATTAATTATTAATTAACAATCAATTGGAATGAAAACAAAAAATAATTTATTTAAACATTATTTGCGGAAGTAAACAAGTGAGTCTAAATCAAGCGGGAGTGTTACAAACTTCAGAGTTGCGCAGAACGTACTGCGCAACATGGCGTGACTGTCACTTTCAATTTCCAACGGTCACGCTCAAACCATGGCTGGCAGCAGAGTCGGTGCGTCGCGGGATTCAATCTTCGGAATTAATTAATCAATTAATAGGTTTTCACGATAAAATTAAATAAAATTTTTATAAAATAATGTTCCTTAGCTTCTGATGTACAATCGGTGATAATAATTTCGGAAATGCGTGAAAGATAAGTATGAAAAAAAAGCAAAAGCCGGTCGAGTCACTTTTACATTATTGCGTCGTATAGTTCTCGGGTTGTCCGCGGTCCGCAGTCCGCTGTTAGTCATAAGTACAAACTTTAAATAGATATTTTCATTTGTTTTAGAATAATTATTAATTATAAATTCCCAATTCGAAATATTTTTTATTTCTTTTTTTTTTTTTGAGTGAGTGAAGTATTTTTTAGTATGCTAGTAGTTCGCGCGCCATTTTGTAAAAAAATTTTCCGTGTTAAATTTTTTTTTTTTTTTAAATTCAAAACACTAGTGCCGGTTTAAAAAGTGCGTAGGTAGTGACAATTATTGAAGAAGATAGTGCTCATGAACATGATTAGGTACTCTGAAAATCGAAAAAGGTTGAATCTTAAAAACTTATGCTTTGTAAAGTAAGTATTTTATTTTTGGATTATTTTTTGTTAATGATGTTTATTAATAATTAAATTTTTTATTTTTTGCTCTAGGTACAGGCGTTGGAGAACAGTCATGACATCTAGAGGTTCATCTTAAAATTTGAAAATTCAAGTAGGTAATATTCTTAGTTAATTATGATTCCAAATGCTTTGATGAATAATTTATTAATATATAATTAATAATTAAGTTTTTAGAAGTATAAAAGAATAAAAAATCTAGCATGTAAAAATTATGAATATTTTTTAATGCAATTTTTTAAAAATAATTTTTTTTAACTCATTCAATGATGTTAAAAAAATATTATAAGAAATTTTAATTCAAAGATTTTAGATCTTTCGAAATAAAAAAATTTTATGATTCTGGAATTAATATTAGACATCTTATACTTCTTACTATTGTCTTAAAACTTATTAAAAAGAAAAATTGTTTAAAATTCTATTTATAAGAATTTTAAATATTCATAAATTCAATTTTTTAAATACTTTTTTTTTTACTAATTTATTTTTTAAACAAAACCAAAAAAATTAGATTTTTTTAAATTTCAATATGATCTTATACCAGGAGAATTTTAAAAATATTTATCATTTTGAATCTGGCAAAAAAGTTTTCTAACTAAAATATTATAAAATATTTTTGATTTCAATAAATTTTGGTTAATTGAATAACTTTTCTGCTTGCTCCGAGATACTTGAATTCTTTTAAATTATTTTCTTAATTTGAGATTTTTCTATTTTATCAAATTAATTTTTTCACCAGTATAGAAACTTATTTTATTAAAATGAGATTACTACTGACAGAAAAACTTAAATAAATGAACCAACTAGAATAAATTATTTGCTGCATCAGTTTTCTCATAAACTGAACACATGCTTGTCAGAAAGTCAATTACAAACTTCGTTATTAAATCACTAAGTTATTTATTAAGTATTGAATCAATGATTAAATATTCAAAAGGTCTACGAGTCAACCTTACATCCCGACTTGTGTCAATAAGCTTCTTTGAGTAGCAAATTAACTTCACTCTTCACCTTCAAATTAAATTATAATACATACTTAAACGTTTTAATTATTAATTAAGCTAATAATTATTTTAATATTTATTGAAAAATTATTTCCTATTACAAATTTTCTTTAAAATTCACCTAGAATAATTAAAACAACTCTAACAATCAATCCTTTCTGATTATTAAAAAACATTAACGCTTTTTGCATTTATTAAAGTAATTTCTTTTTATTATACTGAAACGGTAGCTACCATTGTTGAAATACTTATTAAGAAAGAAAAAACTGCAAGTACCTAGCTTACAATATCACTTAACATAAATCCTCTAAGGATTGCAGTAATGGGCTATAATCATAAAAAAATACTATTGAAATTTTTTATAACTCTTGTTTTTTATTTCTTTTTATGCATTATAGATGCAGAAATCTCCACTGTTCCCGGTTTTATCAGAACATTTATTATCAGCTATAATTATCAATTCAGCTGCACCATGGCCGATCGAAGGATTCATCAAGATCTTCTATTGGTTTGTTAAATAAAGTATTATAATTTTAGTATCCATAGAAAAAACTTTTAGTTTCATTGCATGCATTACTTCAGATAAAAAATTTAATGTTCGCTTTTAGGTGTTTCAAGTAATAATCATAAAAAAAGTCATTTTTTATTTTCAATATTACATTTATTTACAATTCCGACGGATAGTTTTAAATTTGACTATTCATATCACGTTTTATAAATTTTTATTATAAATAACTTATATTGACAACTTAACGTGGTTCGAGTCATGATTCAGTATAATTTAAAGCAAAACTTTTTATTATTTAAAGTTATTATTATTAAGCTATATATATGACAAGATAAATTAAGATTAAGATCAAGCTCTCGAAGACGAGAAAGGATTATAAGTTCTTAATGAGATTTAATAATGCAGTGAGAGTGTTATATCTTGATATATAAATCACTGGAAATCCATTTGCGATTATTGATGGGACTGCTTGATAGACCTATATATAAATATTAGAATATATAATTGAAGGATTCACTTAACAGAAATAGATCCAAGTATATATTCGGGTAATGTATTACAGTGAGAAGAGAGGGATAAGTTTTAACTGGAACAAGATCTTGGTCTCAAGTAAATGGGAGTGTAAGTAGTGTATATATGCATATTAGGCAAAAGAGTGTTACCTGTTAGGATAATAACGCTTGCAAGTCCAGGAGCATCGAACAAGTTTCATGAATAGCTAGGTGTAATATTAGGGGGTACTTTAAAGGGTAAAGTTACACCAATAACAGAACTGCAGACGCTCGAAGCCTGATAGAATATGCAAATCGCCTGTCTAATGGCCGGGTAAGCGTCCTCACTTCTACATGGGGATTCTCAATGTTTTAAGTACATTTTCGTTAATTATTCTCTTTGCTTTACTTTTATTAATTCACGAATAAAATTATTTTACTCTTACACTGATAAATTCCGTTTAACCTAAATAAACTTTATTTATTTACCGTAATTTTCTTTTATTTTATCAATGCAATATCTTTCGCGCTATTGGAAATTATGTACCGAAGGGTAGTTAGGTCTAGCTGAGCAATTTTTCCGATCAAATAAAACATATGCTATTAAATTAACAAATTTTTATATTTATTTTTATTTTACTGCATTTTTTTCAAAATTTAAGTAAAAAAAGCTAACTTTTACCGTGAACAAAAATAAAATTAAACACATTTTTTAATCGTAATAATTAGAGTTTATTTTACTATAGTGCAGACTATATAAAGTCAAATTTCGGGCCACTAGCATAATTGAATAGTTTGAATTGTAGTTTAAATATTTTTAATATTTAATTATTCTCAAAAAAATTTGTTAATATGTCTACGGATGATTTTTTTCCAAACCTAGTATTAAAAAATTCCGACAGATGGCGTATAAACACTTACCTGTCTCCTAACAGGAGAGTTCACTTTAAGATTTTAAGTTATAATAATAAAATTCTTTCTTAGACCTTTCTAAGGAGCTTATCCTGCATTGGCTCAGTTGATTCAACTACTAAAACGATTTTTTTTTTTTTTTTTGTAAAACATGTTAATTAGCGCACAAATTTCTAGAAAAAAACAAAAAATTTAATAATTATAAATAATGCGCAATTTTATTGTTATTTACCATCAAAATTACAATTTTTAGTTTAAATTTTCTGAAAAAATTATTAATATCAATATTTTTCTCTTTATTACAACTATCCCCTAGTTAGGCTTTATTACCTGCAAGTACCTTAGTTTTCTTCTATTTTAATCTCAAATATTCAGCACTAAATTTAAACTCCCTGTTATTTAAAATGTAAAACAACTTCTAATTGTAACTAGTGGAAAAATATTTGTTCGTGTTTTTATCACGAAAATTAACTGTTAGAGTTCCAAACGATTTAATTAAATCGTTAAATATTTCATAG